CTATTATCTCAGCAAATAGTTGATGCACATTAAACACTATTTAATACGCATCCTGAGGATCTGCTCTACTTGAAGAAAAGGGTGCCGTAATTGAAGATTGTGTCCTTATATTTGGAGTATAATGATGTTCCAAACCTCATGTGCCGACGTGAGTTCATTCGTGTGTCAAAAGACCTCGTTTGCATTTTATTTTATCTGCGGGGACAGTTGTGGACAATTTTCGGGGTTAATTTCATTCAAATGCGTTGAATATGCCTTGCGTCAAAATTCACGATGTTTCCACGTCTATCTTCAGGTCTATCTAGACAGCCGGCTAATTTGCATATTTATAGGCAGCTTTATTCCTGCCGGCCACTTGGGTTGACCTAATAACCCGAAAAACACCCTGGTGTAATTTCGATATAGTATGATGGACAATTTGAAGGCCTAAGGCCATTGTTTCCAGTAAATATGATTTGGGTGGTGTGATCCATCGTTATGGTCTGGTGACAAGTTTGACGTCAGCAATGAGTAGTACAAAAGGCCCCTTACAGAGATGGGACATTTTTCATGCTAATAGTGATTTTTGAGTCTTTATGCGTTTAGAGCGCTTACATATAGTCTTTTTTAATGAAGTCATAAGTTGTATTACAACTTAGATTGTGGTAAGCGCGGCCCTCTAACATACATCTCTGAATGCAGGTAAACAGAACGAGAGCTAAAACAATCAGGGCAGAAAAAAAATTCAGCCAGAAAACTGAATTCAAACAGTCAGTCAGATACTTTGGCGCAGTTTATATCAGTAAGGTGAATATTATATGGTGTCGTCCTTAGTATTCCGTAACAAAATGGCCATGTAGTCTGAGTAGTATGCTTGATGAATTGCCATAGTCCTTTTAAACGTGCAAGGTCGCAAATCGCTTAATTGGTTTTATCTTACTGCCTTGGAAATTAAAATAACTGAAACAGGAGTCACTGATGAACGTTCACCTGACCATTAACGGAACTCATCTCTCCCACTCTGCCTTGGGTCTCAAGAAAGGCCCTGACAGCCGTAAGAGCTAGAAGTATGCAGATGTTATTGCCGGCAAAGGAAATAGAGACTAGAATGGTCATTTCTGGTTCATTAGCTGTCGTCAGTCAGTCATTCCCAG